GAGACACAGCGAGAGAGGGAACTCAAGCAGGGAGAGTGGGAGAGCAGGTAATAATATTAAGCAGGCTTTCTGCTGAGCAGAGAGCCCGATGCGGGGCTCGATCCCAGGACCCTGGGATCATGACCTGAGCCGAAGGCAGACGCTTAACGACTAAGCCACCCAGGCGCCCCTATAGTCTTCTAAAAAAATAAATATTTATGTGCTTGAATGTATGTATACATACAAGAAACCTAGTTAGGAGTCCATAGTAGTAATCCAGGAGATGGATCAGAGTAGCTTGCAGCAGGAGGCAGGAGTGGAGGTAGTGAATGGTGGTCAGATTCTGGATAGATTTTTTTCAGGAAGACAGATTGGATATGGAGTAGGAGAGAAAGAAAGGAGTGAAGATTTGCTTCAAGTTTTGGAGACCTGAGCATTTGGAAGGATGGCATTGACCTCAAGTAGCAGGGGAAAAAATGCTGTAGGTGGAGCAGGTTGCAGGAGAGGGAGGAACAGAGTTCGGCTAGGAGAGAGTGAGAGTGAGATATTTATTAGGTACCCAAGTAGAGATGTCCAGTAAGCTATTAAATATATGAGTCTGCAGTTTGGGAGTGAACAGGTTTTGGAAGTATAAATGTGGGAATCCTTGGCATATACATAATATTTGAAGCCAGAGGACTGGGTGAGATCACCAAGAGAGTGAGTACAGACAAAGAGAAGAAGAGTCAAGACTGGGGAGGTGGGTGTTCTTACCTGAAGAGCACTTCCTAGGCACCAGGCACTCTTCTATGTGCTTTGCATAGATTATAGGTTGACTCATTTAGTCTCCAAAGCAACTCAATGAAGGGGTATGATAACCCCATTTTACAGAGGAGGAATCTGAGGCACAGAAAGATTCATTTAGTTATTAATAACTATTTCATGATATGAATTGATGGAATAAGTCTTAACTCCCTTTTTGAATAATGTAGACTTGTTTTGAAATATATCACATAAACTTTTTCTGCATAGGCTTGATCCATCATGTTTCAAAAATCTTAGTAGTTAGGCATTCCAGTTATACTTTAATGAATCAGCATGACTCAAAGGTGCTTTTCTTTTCAGCTGACAACACATTCTAGAAAAGAATATTGAGGGGGTGCCTGGGTGGCTCAGTCAGTTGAGTGTCCTGCTCTTGGTTTTGGCTCAGGTCATGATCTCAGATTATGATCTCAGGGTTGTGAGATCGAGCTCCACGTCTGGCTCTGCACTCAGCAGAAAGTCTGCTTGAAGATTCTCTCCTTCTGCCACTGCTCACACTTGCACGTGAGTGCACATGCTTTCTCTCCCTCTCCCTCTCTCTCTCAAATAAATAAATAAATCTTAAAAAAAAGAATATTGAGGAGAGACTGAAAAAAGAAAAAAGGTAATTTTCAAAAAGGAGATAAGGAGAACCATTTTTAGGGTTCAATGTTTCTCAAAGATCTTGTGTTTATTTGCTTTCATGAGTCTCTTCTTCAAGAATCATGTATTCTTTAATCATATTTAAGGATAGGAGAGGCAAGTTAATAAAGGGAAATTGTCATCACTCCTACCATCTCACTCTATACCATATTCAGAATATCCCAATGGGATGATTTCTTTTTTTTTTTTTTTTAAAGATTTTATTTATTTATTTGAGAGAGAGAGAATGAGAGAGAGAGCACATGAGAGGGGGAAGGGCCAGAGGGAGAAGCAGACTCCCTGCCGAGCAGGGAGCCCGATGTGGGACTCAATCCAGGGACTCCAGGATCATGACCTGAGCCGAAGGCAGTCGCTTAACCAACTGAGCCACCCAGGTGCCCCCAATGGGATGATTTCTAAGGCTATACCTGACCTTTAGCAGAAATGTGCATAAGACAGGGAAAGACAAATTCATTACGATGGGTTAATCATTACAGAAGGCTTCCAGAAAAAATATTTCAAATTGTCCCCTTGGTACCCTGGAGCTTTTTACATCTTGGGACAAGGTTGCAGATGAATGAACTTGCAGTATGCTTTTCTACCTTCTCTTCCTTGAGAGAAGTGTCACTGTGAAAGGGGAGGGGGGTAGGAGAACTTGCAAAATGCTTTTTCAGATAGTTCAGTTTCAGGAAAAAGGACAAATAGAAGTCAAGGATCTGGAAATAAAATGTTCCCTGCCAACAATGTTTCTTAAAAAGTATTCACATACTTTTGAGGGTTCTTATAACTCAGTTTGAAGATTATTGTCTTAAATATTCCCAATAGGGAAGAATAAAAGAGATATCCTAAAACACCAAGGTGACTTCAGAGGTATTCCTTTACTGAGCCCAAAATATGAAATGATGGAAAGATGTGTACATTTATCTAAATACTAGAGAGCAGCATGACCCTTGAATAACAATACCAGGAAAAGCAGAATCCAGAATTAATTCAGAGATGTGAAAAATATTTAAAAAAAAGGAGGAGGCGGTTAGTAGGGAGGGCCCTTTTAAGGTCATGTTCATAGCAAGAACAAAAACATAAAGACACTGGGAAAAGATGATGTAATGTTTAAAAGATAACAGAGAAAGCAGAACTAACCAGTCTCTTTTTCTCCATTCTTCTCTCAATAACTACTTTCAAATGAAAAGGGTAAGAGTAATGGTAGGAGGGAACATAAATGCAAGAAAGTTAAGAAACAATTTAGTTAATGGAGTTATTTTAATGAGTTTGTTTTTATGCCCAGATAAATTGTATCCTGAGATATTTAGAGAACTTGTAGTTGTAATCATGTAACCACAGTTAACAATCTTAGAAAATAATTTTAGAAACAGCATAGATTCATTAAGAACCAATGTTCTCAAACTAATGTTACATCTAAGAACTTATTACTCAACTTAAGACCTAGTCTTTGTATCTTTTTCATTTAACATTATATTGGAGCATTTCTTTAATATTTCTCATTAAATATACTTCTCTACTATAATTTTAGATAGCTATGTAGTTCTCAATTGTATGACTATATTTTAAATTGCTTAACCAATCCACCATGGTCAAGTTTAGACTATTTCACATTTTTGGCTTTTAAAAACCATGCTATGGTTAAGATCATTTAACAAAAAACTTTATAAATTACTATTTTTTAAATTTTAGGTCAAATTCCCAGAAGGGGGATAGATGAATCAATGGCATCATATTTCTTCTTTTTTTAAATGGCATTATATTTCAAAGGCCTTTCAATAAGCACCACCAAAATGTCCTCCAGAAAGAAGTACCTATTTATATTTTCAAAAACAATACATGAATGACTGTTTTTCCAACCCTTATAATTACTGGAAGATTTTGGTAGAAAAACTTTATATTGGTGATTTTTTTATTGTGGTAAAATATACACAACATATAATTTACCATCTTGACTACTTTTAAGTATACAATTCAGTAGCATTAAGTATATTCATAATGCACAACCATCATTACTACTTCCAGAAATTTTTCATCATCCCAGACAGAAACTCTGTACCCATTAAACAAAAATTTAAAAATAAATATTAAAGGGATGCCTGGATGACTCAGCCAGTTAAGCATCTGCCTTCGGCTCAGGTCATGATCCCTGGGTCTTGGGATCGAGTCCCACTTTGGGCTCCTTGTGCAGCAGGAAGCCTACCTCTTCCTCTGCCTGCCGCTCACCCTGCTTGCTCAGTCTCTCTCTCTCTTTCTCTGACAAATAAATGAAATCTTTAAAAAAAATATTTAAAAATATTGCCATTGTTTTGCTGTATATTTTTCAATCCCGTCAGCAATACTCTTCCCCCTTCCTACTATCTTAGAATTCTTCTCTATTAGAAATAGGACAGGGCGCCTGGGTGGCTCAGATGGTTAAGCGTCTGCCTTCGGCCCAGGTCATGATCTCAGGGTCCTGGAATCGAGTCCCGCATCGGGCTCCCTGCTCCTTGGGAGCCTGCTTCTCCCTCTGCCTCTCTCTCTCTCTCTCTCTCTGTCTCTCATGAATAAATAAATAAAATCTTAAAAAAAAAAAAAAAGAAATAGGACAGGACCATGGTCACAACTCCAAAATCTTGTGGCTTACACAACAAGAGTTTACTTCTCACTCAACTTACATATTCTATGCCAGTCAGCACATATACTTGTTTTTCAGCCTTTCAGAGGTTCAAGCTAATGGAGACCCAGTCGTATAATCGCTTCATAGTTTGCGTGGTTACTGAGGCAGGGCAAGAAAGTGCTGTAGAGCCTTGAGGCAAAATCAAATGCTTCAGCCTGGAAATGGCACGTGCCACTTCTAAGAACTTGGTTACAACTAATAACATGGTGGAGGGTGACAAGTACATTCCTCCCGTGTTACCTAAGAGAGAGGGGAGCACTAGAAGTTCTGCATCTTCCTTTGTTTCCTTACTGATACAAAGTTGGCTTTGTTTAACTATTTGCATTTTTTTCCTATTCGTGAAGGCCACACATTAATGTTTCACTCTATGTAATGCCACAAGAAATCTTGGAATAAGTGAAAACAATTAATTTAGAAGAGTAGCAATTTGATCTAAGTGAAAAGTCACATGTCGCAGAGAGTAATATGTAAACACTCTGTTGTGGCTAACATGTTAAATTGCCGTCTTTGGGCCCAGTTTTCTTAATAAATTCTAACTTTTGAAGTAGATGCTGAATGTTTTAGTGGCATTGGACCCTCTGGTTTTCATGTGTCACTGTTCATGCCCCATGGAGGATGATAAATATTGACAAACACTTGACATGTTCATTAGCAACTTTTTTGAGAAATGGGACTTAATTTTTCATTAGACATACACTCTCTCTTAGCTCATTCCTGCAAAAGTTTTTTTTGGTATGTGTGAGTGTGTGTGTATAAAAAAAAAGTTACCAAACAGTAAAGTATTTAGTTATGTAACTACAGCCATGGAGCTCAGACTTCTCTCTATATGCTCTGTGGTAGCTCTTGTAAGCTCTCATTTTCTTTTGTATATTATACTTAACCTGAAAGTTTTTATGAATCATGTTGACCTGATGACCTGGCAACTTCATTCATCTTGTAGGTTACTGCATGGGCCGTTCTAAAATTGGCTGATATATCAAAGGGCCAACAAGAGTAGCAGTGTAAACTGCTGGAAGGAGTAACTGTAACTGTAACTGTAACTGTCCCTACAGGATCATATCCCAGGGAGCTTCATTAGACTGGTAAGTGCCCTTCTTGAAAGTGTGTTGGTTACGTTGCTTCTGGAAAGGTCAAAAAAAGAGAGAGAGATTATCCTTGGTCACCTTTCAGATTTCCTACTTGTCAAAGTAAGAACTCTGCTCACTGCACTTGTGTCTCATGCACTACTAAATGAGACCATGACAGGAGATCAAATATGGGGTGAAGGTCCAGGAACCCATCTTGGCTTAATTTTAAAAATCTCTTCAATATTGGGGTGCGTGAGTGTCTTAGTCAGTTAAGCGTGTTACTCTTGATTTTGGCACAGGTCTTGATCTCAGGGTTTTGAGTTCAAGCCCTGCATTGGGCTCTGTGCTGGGTGTGGAGCCTACATAAAAAATTAAACAAACAAACAAACAAACAACAATCTCTTCAATGCAATTATTTATAGTAAAACTTTATTTCAAAATGACATATCCAGGGGAAAATTGTGAAAGGACAACAGCTTGGCATGCCAGCCTTAGAACAGGAAGCTGGATAGACTGCCAGGCAGCAGGTCTCTTTTGACACTCTTGGCTGAAACAGATGAACTTTGTTTCTTCTGTCAGTGCTTTATTATGCTTTAGAATCAAAGTCCTGGGAAAAAGAGCCTGGTTGGCTGAGCTTAGGGCATGTGCCCCGCCCCTGGCAATGGCAGGTCTGAGAGGAAGGATTAGCAGAAGGAATCTCCAGGGATCTCTTTGGATTCCCTAGTGTGAGGCAGGCACATGAATTTTACCAAAACTCCATGCTGTGTGGGAAAATAATTACCCAGGTGAAAATCAGGATGCTCTTGGGAAGTGGGAATGAAGGCTCAGCATCCCAAAATGCTGGTATCCACCAGTAAGAGCAAAAAAGGCATCAAAGCTCATGTACTCATGAATCTGTTGAGTTGATATGTGCTGATTTATTTTACTATTTTCCAATTGTTAGATTGCTTCCTTTTGTTTTCTTTCCTGGAACAAATAGCCCTAAGCACATACATTTAAAAATTTTTTTTTTTTCTTAGGACAAATAATCAGGCCTGGAATTATTGGGTCAAAAGATAACACACGAGTATTTAAACTTTTTTTCATTTTCTATTTTACTGAAGTGCTGATGGACTCTGAAAGTATGCCTCTAGTCATTATAGATTGGCTTTCCAGTGACTGGATAATTGCCCGGTTGAAGGTCACCCTGTGAAACCTCTCTCTGGGTCATATCAGGGGCATTTGTGGTCCTGGGAAAAGCATACTCTTTAGAGCTCTCCTCTTTCCTTCTACTAATGTTTTTTTTTTTTTTTTAAATATCCATTGCTATTTGAGTGAAATGAAGTGCAAGGTCTCTGTTTTGGTCGATTGATTCACATGTTATAGAAAAGAGGGCAGCATTTGCCGGAGGGATCTGTGGGCAGTGGCAAGTGCCTGCTGATATATATGTATCAGCATATATAATAGCATATACCCAGCTCCCTCTTCTCCATGCCAAGTATCTCCAAACCAGGGGGGCAGGAAAAGCAGTGATTTCACTGACAGGGCACTCCACCCAAGGAAGGTACTTGTTGAGTGCCTTGACCCACATTTTCTTGAGCCAGGTTCTTCTAACTCCAAATGTGAGAAGAGTCCTAGATTTCTTCAGAAGCAGCAGTGTGCTTTGTTTTATAATTATCCCTGTGTTGCTTATTCCCCATGGCTAGAGTACACCAGATTGTAGATGCCTTGAGATTAACAATTATCTCACCTTGGTATTTCTTGCAGCACTTGCACAGTGCCTTGCTCATTCCAGGTACTTAATATTTGCTATCTTTTTTTTAAAAAAGATTTTATTTATTTATGAGAGGGAGAGAGCGAGAAAGAGAGCGCATGAGCACCAGTCGGGGAGGGCAGAGGCAGAGGGAGAAGCAGACTCCCTACTGAGCAGGGAGCCCAACACAGGGTTGGATCCCAGGACCCTGAGATCATGACTTAAGCAGAAGTCAGGCGTTTTAACTGACTGAGCCACCCAGATGCCCCAATATTTGTTGACTATCTTAAGTGGAATAGTTCTAGTACTTTCTTGGGGTCTAAATTCTTCCAAGTTATGTCTCAAGGTGCTGGAAAAGGTGAGCATTCCCTAAAAGCAATCAGGAAACCCCAGGGGATTCTGAAACCCATTCTCAGTGATCTGGAGGAAAAGAGCTAAGCCTGGTGCAGATGCAGATGGATAGGCACTCACTCCCTTTCCAGGGGCTGTATCTCAGCCCACGGTGCTCCCGCCACATAGCCTTTTTCAGTTTCTTGTACTAGCTCTCTGACCAAGGTTTTGCTGGGCATGTTTCTCCCCTCTCTAGGTCATATCCACTTCACCCATATCCATTAACTCCTCATCCTTCAGATCTCAGCTCGATTGTTAATTCCTCACTAACATCTCAGAAAAGGCCAAATTCCTGTTATATATACCATCATGTACAGCTCTTTCCTAGCACTTATCAGTGATTTCATTTAATATTTATATTTGTAATTATTTTATATGTTCTTTCTCTCTGACTGGAGTCTATTAATCCATGAGGGCATGACTTGTTCCCTTCACAGAAGTGCTTGTTTTGTTTGCTGTTGTCTTCCTCGTTCTAGGGTCTTCCCTGGCATATGGTGGGTACTCTGTTACCCTTAGAGGCACACACATGTACCCACTGCATTCCTGGCAGATACAGATTATATTGGTATTCTCCGCAGAAACAGAACCAACCACTGGGATATATAAAATTAGACATTTTTATTGTGGTTATAAATATATATATTATTTTTATTGTGGTAAATTACACATAACGTAAAATCTACCATTTTTAGCCATTTTAAGTGTATAAGTTAGTGGAATTAAGTATATTCACATTGTTGTACAACTTTCATCATTATATTTTATAGATTCCTAGTTCACCAACTTATTGTATAGCATTATCATATCTTGGTGGATTAACCCACCTTCAGCTCAAAGGATGTATATATACAATACCAAGAAGTCCCACAGTCTTGCATTTGCAAGCTGAAGAACCAGGACAGCCAGTGGTGTAAGTCCCAGTCCATGTCTGAAGGCAGGAGAACCAGGAGCACCAATGTTTGGGGGCAGGAGAAGATGGACATCCCAACTCAAAAAGAGAGAGGGAATTTGCCCTTCCCTGCCTTTTTGTTTTATTTCTGCCCTCAATGGATTGCATGATGCCTACCTGCATTGGTCTCCCCCAGCTCAAAGGGTTGCCCCTGGGTGGCCTAAGCTATTTGGCATTACTCCTACCCCTGCCTCAGTGATCACTTGAGGGAGAAGCCTCCAGGTTTTATTGAGATAGGGCATGGCAGTCTCCTAAACTGGTTTGATGCCCTGATTGAAGTAGTTGTGATTGGGGAGCATCTTTCTAGTGCAGGAAGTGGCACTGCTTATACGTAAATCTCCAAACGATGAAGCCATTCGATTCTTAGAAAGGAAGCTTCCAAGAAGCTAAAGTCAATAGTCAGCTGGTGCAGAGCTGAGCAGATAAATCTACAGAAAAGCCTGTCTTACCTCTCCAAGGAGGATTTTAGTGATATGGTCCAATAATTTCTTGTTTATATTATTTTGGCATTTCCCCCCTTAATACTTGTGAGATAAAGCAGCCTGATACAATTTGGAAGACATTCAAAGATTTATCTTGCATTTCTTCTCTTTATATCATTTATGTTTTGCCATAGCTATAATTTATGTGCCTCACTCATAAAGGTGTCATAATCTCTGCAGCAGAGATTGCTAGGTTCCTGCTCAAAATCTATTGTCCTTTTCTCTTTGTAAAAAAATTCAAGTTTGATTTAGGTGGCAGTGTACTTGGGTAAAAGACCACATTTTCCATTTTCCCTTGCAGTGATGAGTGGCCATGTGACTAAGTTCTGGCTAATGAAATAAATAGCAAAAATGTCTAAGACCTGCAGGAAGGCGGAACAAAGTGCTGACTCAGCTGGCCGGGGCGGGTGGGGGGGGTGGGGGGGGTGGGGGGGGATGCACTTTTAACCTTTCCCTTCCTCCTTCACAGAGGGAGCTCTAGGAGCCACCTTGTATTTTGAGGTGAAACTGAGGATGGAACCCAATGCTTCTCTGGGGACTGTGGAATCATGTTAGACTACTTCTGGACTTCTTTTACATGAGAGAGAAATAAACTCCTTATGGTATAAACTACTGTTATTTTAGATTTTTCTGTTACAATATGTCTGAGCCTAATTCTAACTGACTCAGCCTGAAACATATTCAAAGATTAAGTAGAAGCCTGTTTGACTTCATATGTGGCAACTTTGTTACTCATCAGGGAAAGACAACATTGTATGTAGCAGAACCTACATAAAGGGAAGGTTTCATCTGTATTAACCTCTGTTTTATCTACACTGGAACCTGACCAATTTGCATTGTTTCAACTCCTTAACTAATCCAAGCATTTAGCAAAGCATAAGAATGCTTACCTGACATACATACTTGAATGTCTCCAGGCATCTAAAAGCTTAATGAGTCTGAAACGGAAACTGATTTTGCCCATCCCAGTCATCATTAATTACCACCACCACATGGACTTCTTATCTCCTGTTTTCCTTTTAGTGAATGTTCAGTGAAGTTCATATCCACCCACCTTACTTATCATGACAAGAGCCTGGCAGCCATCTTTGACACCCTCCTCATTTCTAATATCCAGGCCATTGTCAACTCCCAGAATCTCCCTCTACAATATATTTGGATCTATTTCTGTCTCCATTGTTACTTAGAGGGTAAAGCTATAACATTTCTTGCCCACACCACTCCAAAAGTCATCCCTCTGGACTCCCATTCTCCACACAGCAGCTAGAGAGAAAACACAAACCAGATCACATCACCATCATGCTGAAACCTCTTCAAAGGCTCCCAATAGCACTACAATACAATCCAAAATCCTAAATATGGCCTATGAAGTTCTGTGAAATTTGCCCCCTGCCTCCCCTCCACCACCCTGTGTTGTGTTGAGCCAGTTTCTCTCACTGACTATGCTTCACCCACCTGACCTCTTTTTGTCTCTTGAATGTATCAGATTCTTTCCCATTCCAGAGGCTTGCACAGGCTGGTTCCCTGCCTGGACTACTTTGCTCTCAAAGCCCTCTATTTAAGATTTTTTTTTTTTTTTTTTTAATTTGAGACAGAGAGAATGAGAGACAGAGAGCATGAGAGGGAGGAAGGTCAGAGGGAGAAGCAGACTCCCCGCCGAGCAGGGAGCCCGATGCGGGACTCGATCCTGGGACTCCAGGATCATGACCTGAGCCGAAGGCAGTCGCTTAACCAACTGAGCCACCCAGGCGCCCCTCAAAGCCCTCTATTTAATGGTTAATTCCTACTGATTCTTCTGGTCACTGATTAAATGACACTTCTCATTAAATCTTCCTGACTCGACTCTTCGATTTTTTTCAGGTCCTCAATTATAATGTCTCACACACTCTTTACTCTAACTGTATGGCACTTTCATTTTAAATTAGATATATATTTATGTGTGTGGGTTTTTTTTGGGGGGGGGAGGGGTAGTTACTGTGTCATTTTCCCTCCAGAGAACAAAAGCACCATGAGGGCAGACACTGTCTGTTTTGTATACCGCTGTATCACCAGCACCTAGTATGGTACATAATACATACAGAAACTTAACAAATATTTGTGGAAAGAATGAATGAATGAATGAACAAAAATGAGACCTAGGAACCCTGTAGTATCTGCTTTTGTGATGACTTTCCTTGAATTCTGTCTTATGTGATTTTAGGAGAATAGACTCCCCTGCCCCCCCTTCCCCCATATTGATGGAATGTAATCTTCATCTCCTCTTCCTTCTCCTCCCTCTTTTCAGCCTACCCTCCCAACTTCCTCCTCCTTCTCCTGATCATCAGTATTATAACTTTAGCAGGTGCTTTACAAAAACAATTTTATTAAATCTCCTCAACCAACTTGCAGTTGCAAAATCATCATCTCCGTGCCATGGATGGCAAGCCTGAGATTTAGAGAAAATTTACCTTTGCCAAGCTGGTATGACTACTAAGTAGTGAAGGTGACTAGGAGCTCCTAAATTTCTATCTATCCATTGTACCATAATGTTTCTCTTCACTTGGCCATACTTCTCATTCATTCCACAGTTACTGATCATCTCTACTAGGCACCAGACAAGATGTAATTGAATAAAACTAAACTACTTAGGCCTTTCACTCTTGGTGATCACAGTAGACTTACTTAGTATTGAATTAAGATTCATATTCACCTGCTCTTTAACCCTGTTTTGGGCTGTGTGTGTGCAAAGACAGAGTAACAATGTTTTTGTGATGTTATAAAATTGTTTTAAACAACTCATTTTGTTCCAAATATCTAAATATCTAAGGAAGAACTGGCCACAGTGAATGAACCAGAGTTTTTGTGGCTGGGAGTAGAAAGCCGTAAGGAAAGAGGCACTTCTGGAGCAGCCCCTTGCCCTTTTTCTTAACTTTGTAATTAAGGTACTACACATACTAAAAAAATTCACCCATTTAAAGTGTACAATTTAATGATTTTCAGTATAGTTAGAGCTGTGCAGTCATTATCAAAATCTAAGTTTAAATTATTTTCATCATCCCCAAAGGAAACCCTTACTCGACACCCAGGTCACCATCCAGCCTCTGACAACAGCTAATCTACTTTCTGTCTCTACTGATTTCCCTATTCTGGACATTTCACATGAATTGGATAATATACGTGGTCTTTTGTGACTGGCTTCTTTCACTTAGCATGTTTTCAAGGTTCATTGTGTTGTAGCATGCATCAGCACTTATTTTTTTCTATTAATATTCAGTTAGTAGATTAATATTCTGCTGTATGGATACACATATTTTCTTTATCCCTCCATTCATCAGTTGTCGGACATTAGGGTTGATTCCATTTTTTTGGCTCTTATGAACAACGCTACTGTGAGTATTTGTGCAGACATGGGATTTCATTTCTCTTGGGTATATACCCAGGGAGTGGAGTTGCTGGCTCACATGTTAATTTTATGTTTAACACATTGAGGAGTGTCAGCAGCCCCTCTTTATGAGGATAAGTTTAGGGTTTTGTCCAGAGGACTGAGTCAGTTTTTCTGTTTTGCCAGGTCCTCAGTGTTTGTTTACATCCCTTCTATTCTTGTGTCTTTCCCCCTTTATTTGCTTCTTCTCTTCTCTGTAGAATCCAGCCCCCTGCTGATTTTAGTAGGAACTGACACTTTCAATGCCTAAAAGTTATTTGTAAAACATTTTGAACTCTCTGGAGGATGGACATTAAAGCAATAATGTTTATCTGTTTTTCCGTGGGTCTGCCGCACGTGGTCCTATTTTGTAACAAAAGAGCTCATTGAGTAGGAGGCTTATTTAACTTGTTCCTGAGGGTTACACTCCAACAACATGCGTCCAAACAGATTCTTAATTACCCAGAGCTGAGTCTGAACGTTTTAAAGAATCAGTTTGAAGTTTCTTGGGGGATATTAACATCTTTAATAAACCTATATAGGTAAACATATGTTGAGAGCTTGTAAAAAATGTATGTAGAGTTCCTGGTGTGTGCCTGGCACATAATTGCTTAATAAATTGTTAGTTGCCATTATAAAAAGTTACTGTAATGAACGACTGATTTAAGTATAAATCTCAATTACTTAAAATGTCTTAGTTTTTTTTGGAAACACATTTGAGTTCTGTTTCAGAATACACAGGATACTTTTCCATGTGTGCTGACATAAATTCTCATTCTCACTTGTTCGTCACCCCCACCTCGTGAAACCTGGCATTTGTTTTCCAATAGTTATTTTTAGAACAATAAAGATCATTTCCACCTACCCAAGCAAAGTTAATCTGAATACGACGGAGACAACTCTTCAGTGGTTTATCCACCCTCTCCCTCCCTCCAAATCGTTCAGTGTGGATACGCAGAAGAGTGTAATAGGAGCTGTCAGCCCCCAAGCTCTCCCTGCTCGGGTAAAACTTTCAGTTAAAGCGGAGATTTAACACGCATTTTACTTGAGATGAGGAGCGGGAATAAGGAAAAGCGTGCCCTGCGTGCGAGAACTTTCACAGCTCAGGGTCGCTCCCAGGATAAATGAGATCAACGAGTCAATCGTTCCCCTTCGCCAAGTCAGACATCTGAGCGCTGTCTCCCGGCCGAGGGGATTAGAGACTGCTATTAAGGCGCCCCTTCCCGGTCCTGGTCGAGGTCCCGGCCTCGCGGAGCCGACTCTGAGTCACCCCAAGAAGGGGAGCCGAAGAAAGGGGAGGGGCACGCACCCCGGGGGTGGAGGAGAGCCGCGGGGCGAAATTCTAGACCGAGTAGGGCTCGGAAGGAAGAGGAGGGGCAACGGCGCGTGGGGGAAGAGAAGGGAGAGGCTGCAGGGGAAAGGAAGAGAAGGAAAGGGAGGGAGGAAGAAGGAAGGCGGAGGATCAAGAAGGGGGCGAGCGGGGGCGGGCGCGCGGGGCGGGCCGGGGAGGCACCCGGGGCGGGGCGGCTCGCGCCTCGGGGAGGGTCGGCGGCGCGGGGGCCGGGCGGGGCGGGGCCGCGGGCGCCCGGGGCTCGGCGGGGGCTGCCGGGATTGGGGCGCCGCGGCTCTCGCTCGCCTCGGCGGCCGGGCTCAGCTCCGAGGGACACGTCCGTGCCGCGCTCGCCCCGGGCTGCGAGCCTCTCCGGGACTTCCTGCCCGCGCGCCCCGCACCTGGCCACGGCCCCGAAGCCCGGCTCCGGCTGTAGAGCGCGGTGGGCGGGCGGTGGACCGCGGTGGTCATGGGGCTGCAGCCGCTGGAGTTCAGCGACTGCTACCTGGACAGCCCGTGGTTCCGGGAGAGGATCCGCGCCCACGAAGCGGAGCTGGAGAGGACCAACAAGTTCATAAAAGAGCTCATCAAGGACGGGAAGAACCTCATCGCAGCGACCAAAAGTAAGCGGGGACCTGGGCGCGGGGCAGGCTGCAGCGCGGCGAGGCCGGGAGGAGCCTCTGCGGGAGGGAGACAGGCAGTCGCGTGCCCCGGGTCAGCCGCCCGCGGAACAGGAGATTGGGGACCGGGAGGCCCCGGGCTCACTCCTGCCCGGCTCCCCACGCAGAGGGTGGCGAGTGCCCTTTCCCGCCCCTAGCCCTCTACCAGCGGCCAGAGCCCGGGGCTGTGCGTGGGAGCGAGCCGCCCGCAGCCGGGTACCCTTCGGTGCCTGCGTTCCCTGCCCGGCCCGCCCCGGGGTCAGGTGGGATTGCACCCTCAAGATCGGTTTCGCTAGTTTTGCCTTGTGATCTCGCTAGAGGACGTCCCTGGGGATTCTTTGAAAACCTGCTGCGTGCTGACTTATTCAAAAGTCTCTTCCACTGCAGCCTTACCGTGTCATTTTCCGATATTTTCGGATAGTCTCGTCCCAGGTCCTTCACTGTGCTAAACCAGAAAGTCCACCCGGCGTCGTGCTGCTTTCCGCACATTCTTTGCCTCCTGCGCCGGGGAGGGTTCAAAGAGTGGGACTTGTCAGGATGAGCAGACAGCCTACCCTTTGGCCTGAGCCAGCGTTGCCTGCCACCAGGGAATTTCACCCACGTCGGGCTTGATGCCTTCTTCCCTGGTTCTTTTCTGCTTTTTGAAAAACTAGGAAGTGGCCACCGGAGAAATAGATCTCTATAGATATATCTGTATCTGAGAAGAGTTTTTCTAGGAGGGAGAAGGGCTAAGATTCTGGCTGATGGTTGGTGATGCTGCTGGATGGGGCGGGGGGGGGGGGGGGCATTAGCTCCAGTGAGGAGCTGGGCGGTTGGACCACACCTGTAGCCCATAGCCCTTCTGAGGAGGCCTCTGAGTGTCCTCTCTTCTTAAGAAGACAGCAGACAAGCGACAGGGCAGTATCCAAGCCTCACAAGTCTGTGTTGTTAGGGTCTTTATCGCTTCTCTAGTTTCTCAGTTCGGTAATTCCCAGCTTTGGGAGTTAGTCCCTTGTACACTTGTTTGTAGACCTCACCTCTGGGAAAAATACCCCATATCACTCTCCCCCACTACCACCATTTTGCATTAAGGAAGATTAAAACATACTGCACAAACTCTCAAGAACCCAGCACAGTGCCTGGAACAGTAAATATTCATTTAATGAGTTGAAATAAGTTTTAATGGGAAGAATTTAGTGAGCCATCCCTGTAATTTTGGAAACAAGTCACTCCTCTGGATGATGTCCAAAGTTCCTTTTGGTTCTGTGACCTTGTTGGTGTTGCAAAAGGAGGATTGGGAATCACTTTGCGGTATGTGACTAGTGGGCTTATTTGGTTGATGGCTGTCCAGTGCCTTGGCATTAGGTATATGTGTTGGGTGGGAAGTAGGGAGGGGTTATAAACATGTAGGCAGAAATGAGGAGAAGGGCAGTGTGTGTGTGTGTGTGTGTGTGTGTGTGTGTGTGTGCGCGCGCCTGTACAAGAACATGAGGGAGAGGACTCCTTCCTTCTGTAGGTTGGTGTTAACCAGTGTCACTGGCCTGGGGAGTGTACCTTCTCTCTTACTGGCTGTAGCAGCTCCCTCTGAAGCTAGGATGATGAGGAGGGAGGCTTTGGTATGGGGAGAGGCAGATGGCAAAGCCAGTTTGGCCACTGGTAGAAAGCTATTTATGTGACTGCATGTTAGCTCTTCTGCCAACAGGACACATGCTTGGTGTTCCAGCGGCAGCTGGTGCATCTGGGAGGCCAGCTGTCGCCTTCCTCCCCAGAATGTAGACTTTCTTGATTTGTCAACTGGTGTCTTACTCCTTTTGGTTCTTGTCCTTTACCATAAGAAACACAATTTATAATCATGAGTAAGAGAGCAACCCGAAAGTATCTTTTTTCTCATCATGTTTGATTAACTTAAAGTCTTTCCCAGAAGACAGCAAAAATACAGCTTTAGCTCACGTGCTTTAGGCAAGTTAGAAAGACCCTGCGTTTGCCCAGCTTGCTCCTCAAAGTTTAGTTCTAGTTCCTATCAAAGACTATGAGCACCTGACTTAAGTCAGGACACCTGCGTTTAATTCACCTTTCCTGTTAGGGCCTGGCCACACAACAGCTGAACAGGCCACTTAATTATTTTGTGTTCAGTTTCTCCTGTCCTACTTCTTAGAGGCACTGGTAGGGTCCTGCAGTGTTTGAAAATTGCAGTGTAGGTCAGTCATTCGCCTAACCAGTTGAGCCTTTCTATATAACATCTGCAAGTCAAGAAGTCAAGGAAGGACGTGAGGTGGGGGGAGGAGCTGCAGAAAGAATAGCAATCAACTAGGTCAGACTGATTATATTTTCAGACGTCTTATACTCTGTTGTGCATAAATGGCATTTGGTGCATTTTCAGAATTATGAGTTTGAGATTTCTGTTTTTAGTTGCCCTGTAAGATGCCTCCTGCATGCACTAAATACTTGTTAGATTTATGTAGTTTTGATGTCTTGATGCTTTGAATATTCCATAAATATTTAAAGAAATTGGAGGTGGCTCTGTGGGACTTGAAGGCTTACTGCTGAGTTCAGTGATGCAGCAATCAGCAAATATTTAGCATCTATGATTCATTAAATATTGGGATTGAGATACAAAGAGGTAATAAGGCAGAGGCCCCTGTCCTTGAGTTTATCGTCCTGTAGTTGAATTCAGTCCAATCTAGGGAATGTGTTTGAACTCCTATAGCATTGTGCTAAATTCTTGAAGAAACAAAGGACACACACACACATTTAAAAGGTTAAGGGGCACCTGGGTGGCTCAGTCGGTTAAGTGACTGACTCTTGGTTTCGGCTCAAGTTATGGTCTCAGGGTACTGGGATTGAGCTCCAAGTTGGGCTCTGCTCTCAGCGCAGAGTCTGCTGGAGAGTCTCTCCCTCTCCTCCCCAACCCCCCATGTGCGTACTCTCTCTCAAATAAACAAATCTTTTTTTTTTTTTTAAAGATTTTATGTATTTATATGACAGAGCAAGAGAGGGAGAGAGAGAGCACAAGTAGGGGGAGCCGCAGAAGGAGAGGGAGAAGCAGACTTCCTGCTGAGCAGGGAGCCCGACTTGGGGCTTGATCCTGGGACCCTGAGACCATGACCTGAGCCCCCCAGTCACCCCATACATAAATGTTTAAAAAATAAAAGTTTAAAAATTGAGTGAGGAACAAGTATTCTAACTTTGCCAGAAACAAGAGTTTGTTGTAGGTTAGAATGAAGACATGTGACTGGCAGTTTGGGAACTTGTTTTAAGTAAGGAGTAGAAGCTTGTAGAACTTGTCAGATTGAAAACAGCTGAGAAGAAACCTGAACACCACAGTATTTGAGGACCCTGAGGAGACCAGTTAGGAATGGGATAAAGGGAGAGGTTGGTTTCAGATTATGGAGGGTCATAAAAAGCAAGGTTAGGAATGTGGACTTTATCCGGTGGAGAATCACTGAGGTTTGTCAGCAGAAGGCTGACATAATGGGAAAGAGTTGATTTCGAGACAGGATTTAACATCTGTGTGTAGGGTGGATTTGGACATAGCAGTGGGGGTAGGCGGGAGCTCCAGAGAGAAGTCTGGGATCATTGACTTACGTGGCACATTTGGAGATCATTCACTCAATTCAGTGGACTCTTTGTTTAAATGGATTTTTTAGTCCTTTTTCTTTTTCACACCTTTCCTTTCCTAGAATAACCAGTGTCCTCTTTTAATACAGTCTTTCCTTTTGTAAGCCTTTCATGCGCTGTCTGTATAGTTTCAGATGCTTATGATTCATAGAAATGTTTAGCATATCTGCCAGGAACAGAAATAGGCCATATATGCTTTTCCACAAATTTTACATTAGGCCATCTTGAGGGAATTTGTTCTGTTTAGAGGAAAAAAATTTTTTTAAAGCGAATAGTCCTTAGAATTATTAAGCACTTATACAGTTATGTAAAATGCTCTTTATTAAGCTTAGATTGTCTAACTTTCTTGGTGTGTGTGTGAAGCTGGAGAGCCCCTCATAAGTGAGCCTGCTCTAAGCACAGACATGGAGAAGGGTGTGAGTGGCAGACAGGACTAGAATTGGAGTCTTCCAAGTCTTGGTTTTAGTACTTTTTTTTTAAGGCCTTGGTATTTTAATATTCGCTTTGCTTTTTCCTTTAATATTTTCTTGATTTTTGCTTTGCTTTCTTTAGGACAACATAAAAGTTCCTTTTTGCTTTCTTTATGTTAATGTTTTAGAGAAATGGTTCAAATGATAATCCCTTTTAGGGGAAATTTCCTAAGTTGCTATTGCATTGAAGCATACAGAAGTTTGGAAGACTTAAAAGAATTTCACGCTGTAAACTTGAGCCTCAGTTTCCTTATTTGTAAAGTGGGACTACAGCAGAAAGCCCAGTCTGAGGATTGAATAAAATCCAGTGATTTTATGTGAAAGTGTTTTGCAAACACACATGTGAAGTGGTTGTGTAGACTCTCTTGTTTGCCCAGCCAGCATTATTTTTCTCTATCGGAATTTTGTTCAGGTGTCTATACCTTTTCCCAGGAGATTCAGGGAAAGGTGATTAGGGCTAATTCTGATTAGTTTAACTAAGTTTTTCAAGCCCAGCTGATCTTTAGAATCATCTGGGCAGTTATAAAAACATGTGGTCAGGTTTAAGAGTCCCAGAACTCTAACTCAGTTATGGTGAACTTATTTTCTGGGCTGGTAACTGGTTTAAGAATGAGGATATATCTCAGTTCTGGCCAGTGAGACATGAGAGGAAGGCTGCTGGAGACTTTGGAAAAGATTTCCTTTTGTGTGAAGAGACTCTTAAAAAGGGTTCTTGGGGTGCCTGGGTTGCAGTGTTGGTTGAGCGTCCGACTCTTGGTTTTGGCTCAGGTCATGATCTCAGGGTTGTGGGATCTAGCCCTGTGTCAGGCTCCGTGTTTAGCTTGTAGTCTGCTTAGATTCTCTCTCCCTCTCCCTCTTCCTCTGCCCCACCGACTCGTGCTCGCTCTCTCTCTCTCA